CATTAATTAAAAAAATCAGGCTGGGCACGGTGGCTCATGCTTGTAATCCCAGCACTTTGGGGGTCTGAGGGGGCGTGGTATCATGCAACTGTAGTCCCAGCTACTTAGAGGGCTGAGGCAGAAGGATCTCTTGAGGCCAGGATTCAAGGTTGCAGTGAGCTATGATCATACCATTGCACTCCAGCCTGGGTGATAGAGCAAGATCCTTTCTCTCTCTCTCTCTCTCTCTCTCTCTCTCTCTCTCTCTCTCAAAAAAAAAAAAATCAATTGTGAAATAAGAAATGTAGAAACATTTTTTCCTTTTGTTTTAGAAGTTTTGGAGACATTATATAGAAGATAATAAAGGATCTCATTATTTTGCTTCTGCGTATTAACGTGGTTGTCATTCTTTTGTCTCTAAAAACATATGAGTCAGATGCCCTCAGCAGAACATTCACTCTAAACTGGTGTGTGTGTGTGTGTGTGTGTGTGTGTGTGTCTTCCCTAAGTAAGTTAGTGTTTGTGTATTCTCTACGTATACTGCAAATGAAAACTCTTGCTGGTGCCCGTAGCGAAGGTGATATAGCTGCGTGCTGCAGCAGCATTTGCAGAGTGAGAAATGGTTAGATGCATCGAAAGGAAAGAAGTTCACACTGTTTTAGACTAAGAATTAAAATGTTTTAAAACAAATTCTATCAGATATTTTCAAACATATACAAACACACACAAACATATAAAAAAGTTGATAGAATAATGAATCCTCATGTACCTTTCACTTAGCTGTAATCTTTATAATCACATAGTTTCACTGTACTCCTCTCCTGGACTGTTTTGAATCATATCTCAGACATTTTTTATTTCATCTGTAAATACTCAGAAAATTAGACATTTCTTACGTCACAATGAAACATTCATTCATTCTAGTACCTTAGAAGTGCTTGGAAAAGTTCTAGGCTCTTAGGATATATGGGAGGATAAAATAAACCATGTTCTTACATTCTAGCATGGAGAGAGAGAAAATACACTAGACACATAAATAACCGTAACGGGAAAAGCATTGATTTTATTAAAATTTAAGATTTTTCTTTTTATCAAAGACACTATTAATAAAACAAAAAGGGAGAAGATATTTATAAAACACATCTGACAAAGGACTTATATCCAGAATACATAAGCAGTTCAATAATAAACAACCAAATTAAGAAGTGGGCAAGAGGCTAATAGAGCACATAAAGTATTAAGCACCATCACTAATTGTCAGGAAAATGCAGATTAAAACATCACACCCACTAGAATGACTAAAATTTAGAAGACTGAGATCCAATGTTGGTGAGGACATGGATCAACCAGAATTCTTACACATTGCCGGTGGCAATGCAGACAGTACAGCCACTTTGAAAACCAGTCGACAATGGGATGGAACACACTTGTGTACCTCTGCAGTGTATACTCCTTAGCAATGCAATGGAACACACTTGTGGTGTGTCTATGCACTGTATACTACTCGGCAATGCAATGAATGGAACACAGTTGTGGTGTATCTCTGCAGTGTAGACTACTCAGCAATGCAACAGAACATACTTGTGGTGTATCTCTGCAGTTTACTACTACTCAGCAATGCAGTGGAACACCCTTGTGGTATATCTCTGCAGTGTATACTACTCAGCAATGCAATGGAACACACTTGTGGTATATCTATGCAGTGTATACTACTCAGCAATGCAATGAATGGAACACAGTTTGTATCTATGCAGTGTATACTACTCAGCAATGCGGCGGAACACACTTGTGGTGTATCTCTGCAGTGTATACCACTCAGCAATGCAGTGGAACACACTTGTGGTGTATCTCTGCAGTGTATACCACTCAGCAATGCAGTGGAACACACTTGTGGTGTATCTATGCAGTGTATACCACTCAGCTATGCAGTGGAACACACTTGTGGTGTATCTATGGGGTATACTACTACTTAGCTGCCACACATGCAGCAAAAGCATCATGCTGAGCAAAAGGAGCCAGACCTAGCTTCCCCTACAAAGCATATTGTATGATTCCATTTCATATGAACCTTTAGAACTGGCAAAACAAATCCACTGTGGAAGAATTCTGAATGGTGGTTGCTGGGGCAGAGGGCTGGTATTACTGGGGCCTGACTGTGAAGGGCTCAGCATCTTTCTGCTGGGAGGGCAGAGCTTTGTGTCTTGGTTGGGATACTCGGGAGGGGTCCTCTGCAGATCTCAAGGCTCCTCTTTCCTTCACCTCTGTCCTTTCCTTTGTTCTGCCCTCATCTCAGCTCCCCTTCCCTGTGCTGTGGCCTGGGTGCTTTCTCCAGGCGATAGGCTGGGCTTACCCAGTTTCTTTCTGTCATGGATCACTGTCCTTTGGTGCCTGGTGTCTACTGTCTTATGCTGTTGCTTCATAAATTTTATCTTTTTTTTTAGTTGCTTTAGGCATGAGAGTAAATCCAATCCATGTGACTCCATCTTGACCAGAAGTGGCTGCCCTGCATTGGACAATGTATTTATTTTTAAAAAGATATTATCTTATCCCTTATGGTGTAAGCTCTTGGAGGACAGAGATTTTATGGTGGTGTTTGCTGTATGTCCAGCATCTACAACCAAGAATACTTGGCATATTGTAGGCACTAAGTGAAGGTTTTTGCATGATTCTTTCTTCCTTCCTTCTCTCCTTTTACTTTTCCCTTGCAAATGTTGAACAGCAAAATGAATGCTTAATCTAACAGGGCATTTTCTAAAGGGTCCTCTGCAATACCAATCTCTTGATTCTTTATACACGAAGAGTTCTGTAATGAAATAAGGTTGGGAAATGCACATATATTGAGAAATCCTGTGGTAAAGAAACTTTTGTTCAAACCAGAGTTTTCGAAACTTTAGGTCAGTAGTTCATGACTAGCCTGGGCAACACAGGGGAACCCCTTCTCTACAAAAAAAAAAAGAATTAGAAAAACTAATTGGGTGTGGTCCCAGCTACTCCAGAGGCTGAGAGAGGATTGCTTGAGCCTAGGAGTTTGAGGCTGCAGTAAGCTGTGATGATGATGCTACTGCACTCTAACTCTAGCCCTGGTGACAGAGACCTTGTCTCAAATAAAATAAAATAAAATAAAATAAAAAGACCCCCCCCTCCACTTTAGCTATTACCCTCCATTCATCCCCCCTACCTACAGCACAAAGAAACCACTAATCTTTCTGTATCTATAGATTTCCCTATTCTGGGCATTACATATAAAAGGAATCATATAATATGTGGTCTTTCACTTAGCATAATGTTTTTAATGTCCATTGTGGCATGCATTAGTCCTTCATTCCTTCTTATGGCTGAATAATATTCCATTGTACAGATATACATCTTCTTGGTTCATTCATCCATTGGTGGACATTTGGGTTTTTTCTACCTGTTGGCTCTTATGGATAATACTGCTGTAAACATATGTGTACAAGTTTTTGTGTGGATCTGTGTTTTCATCTCATCTCATCTCTCTTGGGTAAATACACCCTGGAATAGAATTGTTGGGCTATGTGCTGGCTCCACGTTTAATGGTTTGAAGAATGGGTGGGTTGTTTTCCAAAAGAGGCTGCACCATTTTACATTCCTATTAGCAGTGTTAGGAGGGTTCCAGTTTCTCCACATCCTCACCAACCTTTTTTATCTGACTTTTTGAGGATAGCTATCTTATCTCCTTACGATTTTGATTTGCATTTCTCTAGTGACTAATGATGTAGAGTATTTTTTCATGTGCTTATTGACCATTTGTGTATTTTCCTTAGAGAAACATATATTCTTTGCTCATTTTTAAATTGGTTTATCTTACTGAGTTATAAGAGTTTTTATGTATTCTAGATGCAATTCCCTTACAGATATGTTTTTAAAAAATTTTTTCCCATTTTGTGGGTTCTCTTTTCACATCTGTTTTCTTGATAGTGGCCTTTGAAGCATAGTGTCTTTTGAAGTTTTTAACTTAGAGGAAGTCCAGTTTACATATTTCTCTCGTTCATGCTTCTGGTATCATATCTATATTTTTTCCCCTTAATGTTAGCAGAGCCAAAGCAACAAGCTTCATTTGATTGGTCAGTGTAACTGAAAAACTAGTTAATATAGTTGTCCTTGGCTTTGAGACCATAATATGTTGATGGCTTTTTATTAACATCAAATCAAATGGCATTTGGCTGAAAATTCCAATCATGGTATAAAGTAAATGGAAAATGATATGTTTTAATTGAATTAAATAGTATAATGAAAAATAAAATCAATATTATTGATTTCAAAGCATTTTATTCAATAAAATTCTTTTTTTCCTCAAAATTTACTCCATTAATTCTAGTGTACTACTGATATTTCCCTTTGCCATTAACCTTCAGACAATATAAAATGACTGTTAGATGAGAAAATTAATGATTGACAATGAGTACCTTTGCATTGGCAGAAGAATTTGAGCATGAATGGTGACATTTGATAAGATTATACATGTTGTGTTAATTGGGATGTATTTAGAAAAATCATGTTAAGGCTCTTTGCATTAGGGGAAAAGGATGAAGCAGTTGTTTTGAAATTATGTTTCTTTTAAACTGTGACTTGGGCTTCTGTTGGGAGGCTAAAGAGAGGAAGGCCTAACTTCCAGACTTGCATCACAGTGGTTTTGTTTTAATGTGTTTTACAGAGTGAGAGTGAAACATAATTGGAAAAGGGAACTTATGTCTCTTTTAAAGTAGTAAATTGAAGCAGACTGGTATAGAGAATTGAAACTTGGGAGTTTTTCTGCAAGTTGGTTGAGAAATTGTTTTTCCTGCCGAAGGTACAATAGTATTGATTTGAGTCAACAGTAGCTTGATGTGGTCTTCCTAAAATTAAGTTCATAGTTTTCACAAAGGACTTTATACATATGATCAGATTGTTCTGAGTATAAAAGATACTTCATTGAGGCTTAGTGATATTTTTCAATCCAGTTTCAGACTAACGTGTGTCGTTACATTCAAGGTGTCATACTGTGTTTGTTTACTTCACAGGTTATGGGTGCCCAGTGAGCCTCACTGGACAGGAGAAACATCGTCCGCACTTCATTAACGATGGATATTGAGAATAAACCTGAGAATGATGAGGATGAAAATATAAAGAGAGAAGCACAAGACTTGAAAAGTATTTCATCCCACAGTGAAGACTGTGGGCCTGTATCCGATGTGATAGCAAATTCCTCTGAAAACTCCACAAGCAAGAGAGGTTTTTCAGAATCATCAAACTTTGACAGTGTCGTCGTAGAGGAAGAGAGAAGTAAACATGCTTCCAAACGAATGAAATTAGATGAGGCAGCGCCCCTTAAAACTAGAGAGCAGGGCTTTCACGGATTAGAAACTTCCCAGAGCTCGGTCACACGTGTGGGTACCCTGTTAGACGAAGCCGTGAAGGAGGCCTTCCTGAACGACTGCACGGGTGGAGGCACGTGTCTCCCAAACGCTTTCTCCCCACCTCCCGATTTTAGCACTGTTGATGCTGTTTCTCTGAAAACAGACACTGAAAAAAAGTCTGCTCAGGAAGTGGTTTCCCTTGATCCAGAAAGAGAATCTCCTTTCCCCCTGAAAGAAATTAGTGTTAGTTGTACCATTGGAAATGTAGATACAGTTCTCAAGTGCAGCGTATGTGGCCATTTGTTTTCTTCTTGCTCAGATTTGGAAAAACATGCTGAATGTCACATGCAACAGTCAAAAGAACATATCTGCTGCCAGTGCAGCCACAAAGCAGAGAGCAGCTCAGCTCTGCACATGCATATCAAACAAACACATGGGCCACTCAAGGTCTTTTCTTGTGATCTTTGTGGCTTTCAGTGTGTGGAAGAAAACCTCTTGAATGCACATTATCTTGGCAAAACACATCTCCGGCGTCAGAATCTTGCTGCTCGTGGAGGATTTGTACAGATCTTAACCAAACAACCTTTTCCCAAAAAACCATGTACCGTGGGAGCAAAAAATGTTCGTGCAAAACCAAGAACTTCTAAACCATTAGCAAAGAATGGTGATCCAAAAGGATTGCGAAATGTTGGAACCAAATTTAAAGATTTCAGAGGAAGCATTTCTAAACAAAGTGGTAGTAGCAGTGAACTCCTTGTTGAAATGATGCCATCCAGAAATACTTTGTCAGAAAAACTAGAGATTGTTGAAGATAATGTTACTTCCCTTGGCATAGCTCAAAATCCTGAAAACCAGAGCAAAAAGCTAGGAGCCTTAGTAACTTCAGAGGGTCTCTCAGATAAATCGGAATCTACCAAAAATAACCTACAGACAGTACATACTATCAGTACAACCTCGAGGCCAAGACCTGAGCGAAATATTCTAGTGTTGGGTAATAGCTTTCGTAGACGAAGTAGCACTTTCACCTTGAAGGGTCAGGCAAAGAAAAGGCTTAATCTTTTAGGAATTAATAAAAGAGGCACAAATGAAACTCAGAGGATGTATATGAAACACTTTAGAGCACAGATGAAAACAAATGATGCAGAGCCGGTGCCTCCCCACGTAGACATGAGCAGCAGTGTGCAGAGTCTGTGTGTGACTACCTCGGAAACTCAGGAAGTGAAGCAAGACCTGGGAAACTCCCCTCTCCTGGGTTCCACACAGTTGGAGTCCCTGACAGTGAAGCCAGCTTCTGACCCTCAGATGTTATATACTTGTACAGACTGTGGGCAAATAGCTACAAATGGGGTAGATTTGGAAATTCACGTGAAAAGGTGCCATGCCAGAGAGGTGAAATTTTACTGCCAGACTTGTGACTTTTCCAGCATGTCCAGAAGGGACTTTGATGAACATTTGTGCAATAACCAACATCAGCAAACTGCTTCTGTCCTCAGTTGTCATTGTTGTTCATTTGTTTCCTTGAATGAAGTAAACCTTAGAGACCACATGAAGGAAAAGCACAGTATGGATTTTCTTTGCACTGTTTGTAATCTGTTCTTCTTGTCTGAAAAAGACATGGAAGAACACAAAGCAACCGAGAAGCATATTAGTTCCTTGGTTCATCCAAAGATGTCTCAATCATTTAGCAATGATTTGGTTTTGCAGAATTTACCTTTAAGTACTTTAGAATCAGAAAACACAATGGATTCTATGAATGAGTCAGGAAAAACAGCTCAGGAAGAACCTATGAAGTCCAGGGTAAGTCATGGAAATGAAGGAAGGCATTCAAGCAAGCCTCAGTTTCAGTGTAAGAAGTGTTTTTATAAAACAAGATCTTCCACTGTTCTCACAAGGCATATAAAGCTTCGGCATGGTCAAGACTATCACTTTCTTTGTAAAGCATGCAATCTTTATTCATTGAGCAAAGAAGGAATGGAGAAACACATTAAAAGAAGCAAGCATCTTGAAAATGCTAAGAAAAATAATATTGGCTTAAGCTTTGAAGAATGTATTGAAAGGGTATGTATAGGTGCAAATGATAAAAAGGAAGAGTTTAACGTTTCCGGAAACGGAAGGATTGAAGGCCATGGAGGTGTGCAATTGCAGGAGCATTCCTATCTGGAGAAAAACATAGTGAGTCCTAAGGAACTGTCACAGTCTGGTGTTAGCACCAAAGACGATGAAACTTTGACCACTGCTCCAAAGAGAGGGAGACCTAAAGGTAACATCTCACGGACGTGTTCACACTGTGGTCTTTTAGCCTCTAGTATTACAAACTTGACTGTTCACATTAGACGAAAACACAGTCATCAATATAGTTATTTATGCAAAGTGTGTAAGTATTATACTGTAACCAAGGGAGATATGGAGCGTCATTGTGCCACCAAGAAACATAAAGGACGAGTAGAAATAGAAGCAAATGGAAAACAAAGTTCATATATCATTGTTGGCCCTGAAGGGGGTAACCCTGAAGCCGGTAAAAAGACCACCAGTTTAGCAGTGACCGTTTCAGACGAACACGCTAACAAGCCAACTGAGTCAGACTCCTCCATTTTACAGAAGCCATCAGTAGATAATGGAAATTCAGTTACAGTTGAAGTTGAAAATGTATTTCATTCTGCAGATGGGGAAGTTAACAGTCATCTTATGGATAAAAAGGAACAAGTGTCTCCAGAGCCAGAGGACCTTCGCCAACAAGGGGATGCATATTCCCAGAGAGATGCTGCAGGAGCAGGTGACACTAAATGTGTACACTGTGAGTTCCATGCTCATTCTTCCGCTTCTCTAGAGCTGCACGTAAAACGGAAACACACAAAAGAGTTTGAGTTTTATTGCATGGCATGTGATTACTATGCAGTGACTCGTCGAGAGATGACCAGGCATGCAGCAACAGAGAAACACAAAATGAAAAGGCAGTCTTACCTCCACTCTTCTAATGTAGAAGCAGGTTCTGCAGAAATGTCCAAAAACATCATTATACCCGAAGAGGAGCATCAACAAAATCCTGGGGAATTCCAAATCATTTCTGACCAACCATCTGATACTTTTAAATCCAGAACCGCTACTGATTGTTCAATTTTAGATGAGAATACTAATTTAGATATGTCTAAAGTACTCTGTGCTCCTGACTCCGTAGAAATTGAGACTGAGGAAGAGTCTAATTTCAGTGAAGACCATTCCTTTTGTGAGACTTTCCAGCAGCCCCTGGTCAAGGATAAAGTTATGAAACCTGAAGAGATGGTATCCCTTAATATTTCCTCTAATTATGGCTCCCCAGGCAGATTTCAGAATGAAAATTCAGGAAGCTCAGCTTTGACAGCAAAGAAAAACCATGAGATGTTGAATGACATAGGTGACCCAAACATCCCCTGTGAGAGCAATGGAGGAAGCACAGCGGACGGTGGAGGAAAAGTCCTTCACAAACACATGTGTCCCCGAGCCCCTGATGGGGCGCGCCCAGCTGATGGCCCTACCCCTGCTGGGATGAGAACACAAGAGCAGGGAAGCCCCGAGAGCGGGAGTCAAGATGAAGCTGGGCGTGCACATGGTTCAGAGGATTCGAAAGGTGTGCAGGAAGATCCTGGTCCGGAGGACAAGGGCATTCTGATCAATTCACAGCACGAAGCGGAGATTATTTTGGAAGAGGATAGCCCAGCTTCTGATAGCACAGCTGAAAGTAATGATGTTTATGAAACTATAATTAGCATTGATGATAAAGGGCAGGCCACGTACAGTTTTGGCCGGTTTGATTCTTCCATAATAAGGATAAAGAACCCTGAAGATGGTGAATTGATAGACCAGCCTGAAGAGGGTCTGATAGCAACAGGAGTGCGAATTAGTGAATTGCCCTTAAAAGACTGTGCTCAGGGCATGAAAAAGAAGAAAGCAGAAGGCAATTCCTTTGGCGAATCCACGCGAATTCGTTGTGATGACTGTGGCTTCTTAGCAGATGGACTTAGTGGACTGAATGTTCACATAGCCATGAAGCACCCTACAAAAGAGAAGCACTTTCATTGTTTACTATGCGGAAAGTCATTCTATACAGAAAGCAACCTTCATCAGCATTTGGCCAGTGCTGGCCACATGAGAAATGAACAGGCCAGTGTGGAAGAGCTTCCAGAGGGAGGGGCCACCTTTAAATGTGTCAAGTGTACAGAGCCCTTTGATTCCGAACAGAATTTATTTCTGCATATTAAAGGGCAGCATGAGGAATTGCTACGGGAGGTGAATAAGTATATAGTGGAAGACACTGAGCAAATCAACCGCGAGAGGGAGGAAAACCAGGGAAACGTTTGCAAGTACTGTGGGAAGATGTGTCGAAGCAGCAATTCCATGGCCTTCCTGGCACACATCCGCACCCACACAGGTACGTAGCCCCGCAGCAAGCCCACGTTTACCTGTAAAGCACCAGTCGGTGATGGGATTTTCACATTGGTTCCCATCCAAATATGCAGCCTTCCCCGCATCTGCTTGCTGGCCTTCTACCCAGTTCACACTGCGCTGCCTTGTGGGGCTCTGGGTGTCTGTAGCAAGTCACTGTTGACACTTAACATTGCTAAAGGTATTATAATTAAGCCTTAGTGATTCCAAAGGCACATTAGTTGTCAAGTATCTCTTAATTTTGTTAAAAAGCATAGTCCTGATGCCTTTTTAAAACCCCTGTCTGTTACAGATTTTAGTTGTTTCTAAGTCCTAATTATTTGATTTGCCAAAGGATGTATTAAGTGATACTTTGTGTCTTCAGAGGATATATTAAATGACTTTTCAAGAATGGAATAATAAAAATGTTCTTACAATTTTAGGGATTTAAAAATATTCATTGCCAGATATTTTATATCCAGAAGTATAATTCCAGGCCACAAGATTGTATCTTTAAGGATCAAAATTAGCCACCACTTTTCAGAGTTAACTTACATTTGGGATCTGGTTTTCCTGGAGGTGGCACCTGGTTTAGTTTCTGTGTTCTGTTACATTTAGTGTTCCATTTTAATGGCTAATTTTAGGTAGAAATTTTTTAAAAAACATTTTTTGGTGTAAAATGCATAAGCTGCTCTTCTAAATTTATGTAAAAATTCACTGCACTGTTTCTATAAACCTGCCATACATTCTTTATTTTAAATAGACAGCTTTTCTAAATCATTGTGCTCTGCTTAGACAAGTTCTGTCTCCATGGTTGAATTTATGAGTGGATTTGAATAATAAATTCACATTTCAATGAACATATTTTCATTAAAACTGTAAGGTTTATTTTACTGTACTTTTAAATAATGGCTTATTATTAAAGGTATAGTTAAAATTCTTGCAGTTTTTGAAACTTAGTGCATGGTTACAAGGAGATAGACAAAAGAGTATGAAGCATTATTACTAGTTTAGGGTGATTTAAAGATAGATAAAAGTTTTTCGTTGAAGAAAGCAACAGGGTAAGCTGCATAAGATTAATAAAGGTAAATATAAACATTGTACTCTTGATCCCAACTGTCCCCATGTGCTAGAGCCGTTTTTTTTTGGAATAAGTCCAAATACTTATTTGTTTGCAGTTTTAATATCTGTCAGTACCTTGTAGCTTACTTTCTGAAATATAGTTTTAGAAATAAGGCTTGTTCACATGTGTAGAAAATATGTACTTTCTTAATATGCCCTCTTAAGGCAGATAAAACTGAATAAAACTAAGAGGAAGATGCTAATGGAGCTCTTTTTAGAATTCTTTATGCAACTGTCTGGTCAAGACATGTTGCTTATAATTGATGTGTCCATTACTTGAATTCTCTTGTAATTATAGTCAATAAGTCTTGTAAATGTGTTAAAGCTCACTAAAAGCATACAAATTCAAGAACAGAGTAAGGCTAATAATTTAAAATAATCAATGTAGGCATTTCAGCACTTAATTTCCCTTGTGTGTTGATAGCTGATCATTCTTAATCCATTAAGATTTATTTAGTCGTTTACAATGCAAAATAGGTTTGCACTGGTCACTTGTGCCATTTGAAAATGTCCACCAGGTTAAGTGCGGAATGTAGTCCATTAGTCTTCCTTGACTATATGTATTAATTGCATTTAAAATCAAGTTAATGTGGATGTGAAAGTGAGGTAACTATCAATATGTGACAAAGTAACCCTACTTATATAAGTTACATCATTGATTGTAACATTTAGTAAAAGTTAGCATACTTTTTTTTTTAAACATCTTTTGTTGGTCTTAACAGCAAGTACATTTTTATTGTGCTTTGAGGTACCACTGAGAGCATTGTTCCTGAGTACACACTACCAGTCTACCATTTCAATTTTGCAAGTCAGTTTTTGGGGGAAGTTGGTCTCCAGGTTTTAATTCAAGATTTTTTTCTTGGAGCATCTTAAAATGAATAGCTTTTTTGATACTTTGCTTATGTCTGTGAAATAGTAATGCAGGGACTGTTATTAATGGTTAACTGGAAAAGGGCTTACTCTTCCAATCCCTGTTTTCATGTTTTGTGATTTACTATATGTTTTATATAGCCTTTTCTTCCCATCCATAGCATGATAAGAGCAGCGCTATAAGAAGTGAATGAGTTTTGGTTATCAAGAATTGCATGGAAAAAGTATCCCAGAGTTTTCCCATGTGATTTCCGGTGTGGAGCAATCAACATGACCACAAAGAGTAGGCTTTCCTTTCACATTACATTAGTAGGACTGAAAAAGCTGTTTGTTTTCTCTCCTGCGTTATTATGTTAAAGCTTTTATTTCATATAACACAGGAGACTGTTAAGCTACCAGGTTGTTTGAAGCCATTCATTTTATGTGGAGTACTCTGGTCACCTGTGCCACTCAAAAATGTCCGCATGTAGGGAGACAGGGGGTGTGTGACTTCACTGAAAAACTCTGAAGTCAGGACTGGTAGTGTTTGTAGTTCAATATGTGACAGTTCAGAGGACAAACAGAACACGAGGGGAGCGAATTTGTAGATTTTAAGCACGGCGAGAACAGGGTTACTTCATTCACTGCTTCTTCTGTGCCCCACACTTAGTTGGCTCTTAGTGAAATTTGTTAAATAAATGAATGAATGAGCAGATGGATGAATGAAGTGTTCTGAATGTTGAAGAAGGATTTGGGGATTAAGGCTACAGTGGAGAAGTGTTAGATGATGAGTAATAAACATTTTACTTCATTCCTATGAGACCTAAAGGATTTTCTTTGTGTTTTCTTTTTAATGTTAATATCATGTCCAAGTATGCATAGCAATTAGTAATGACCAACAGTTGAGGAATGGCCCCTGTAGATCCACGCGAAGACTTAGTCTTTAAAGTCTTTGGAATTTTTTTTTGGTAAAAAAATAAGGTACTGTAAAGTTAGAGAGCCTCTTTAGTTTTTTCCTTTCAAAAAACCTCACAGACTGGATTAAACCAAATGCCTACTGAGGATAATGCTGTTTTAAGGAATGGAACTATTTAAAAATAATATTGAAAGTTTACAGTAATCAAAATACACCTGAGAGAGAAAGACAGATTTACAGATATGTGATTTTACAAATTGTGTCTTATAAACACTATGTCTGGATTCATTTTGGAATGTGCATAACAAGCTTTAACATTATCTTTTAGGAGAAAAAGGAAAAAAAGGGACACATTTTTGTTTTTTTAAATATATATACAGAGAAGTATTACCGAGTATTTGAATTTTTATGGCACAGAAAGGAGATGTTAACAGTTTGCTCTGAATATCAGATATGAAAAATAGTCAAAGACTCAGTGATTCTGGGTGAAGCCATCAACAATAACTCATTTACGTGTTGTCAACACACTGTGGCAGTGACCACTGAGACTTGCGGGGACTAGAGTTTGTCACAAAGGGTCCATGCACAGTAAATTGAAAACACCACAGACCCCATGTGCAACCCTGTGTGACGTCTTTGCTAGTCACAGTGCAGGTGCTGTGTGAGCAAAGTGAAAACTCAAACCCATGAGATATTTTATATCCGTTCACCCAAAATTATAATACAAATATTGGGAGGGCTTTATCTTCTTTGGAGTTCTGATATTGTTAATATATATAATGTATGCCATGTAATAATTTCCTAATTACCCTATTATCTTTAAAGCATTTTAATTTAAAATACAGGTAAACTGATTCTTATACTTTTCAAAAGTCCTTGTAAAGAATTCTGTGTCTTAATGAAATGTTTCAAAGTAGTGATAGGCTTAGTTTTATCAGAATCATTTAAGTAAACTGTAGTTTCTAATGTGATTGATAGCGTGATTGCTGTAAGCTGCAGTCTCAACCTGCTTTTGACATTTAAACATATAAACCTGACTAGATATAACCATTCAGGTGCTAAATATATTTTACATCTACTTCTAACAGTAGTAATGGAAGTATTAAGAGATCTGGCTTCATTGTCATTGAACTGTGAAATATTCAACCTTGTCTGCCCGTGCTTAGTACTGTTGACTTTTTTTATTTCTGTTGGAAGATTAAAATTAAATGCTTCACTTTTTTTGTCAGCTTTTGGGAATTAAATGGAAATTTAAGACTGAAGTTTTTTATTGAGTGCTTCAATTTCAACAAAGTATTCTTGGAGAATTTTTTTTCCCCCAAGGGCACTGCACAAAGGTTCATTGATCAAATATGATTTATTGCAAATTTTTTATTTGAACTTTTTGTATATTAAAGTCCACATATTTCATGTTCTATCTAGTTATAATAGAAGATATATATTGCTAAATAGGTACTAAACATGATATGAAAAATCTGGAAACATATTGTACTGATTTTAAACTGTGGTTTTTATGATTTTATTTATTTGAAGATACAGTGGTTAGAAAATTGGAAAATAGTATATATATTTTTACCTTAAAAGAGTGTTATTTCTCATTAATGTGACTATTGATTATCAGTATGTCCTAGCTACAATCTTATCTGTTACTAACAGTAGGTTTGTCAACTTTGAAATAATTTTATTTTCTCATTTTTGAGTATAGCTTGATCTTATTTCTTTATTAAGTAACTACAAAAAATTTTGTTGCCACTATGCCTTTTCTGTTGAAAAATTTGTTCTTAAAAACAATAACCAAAATAAAATATCAGTTCTTCTGGTTTGCTGAGTCATCACCAATTTTTGACTATAAAATGATCATAAATGCATAATAATTTATCTGCTGTGTATTCATACATTGTGTTATTAAAAATATAATGAATCATTTGACATAAATGTCAGAAAAAATCTGAAATAACCATTGTTAATGGGAATAAATTCAAAGCTGGAGAAATACGAGGAAATAAGGAGATGGCCACTGAAAAAATGTGCTTGATGATAAATATGTTTAAAAATATCAGCTACCCTATATGTATTTGTTTTAAAAATGTTTCATTTTAAATGTTGAATGACTTTAAAATATATTTTTGTGAATTATAAGAAAAATATTTAAAATTATTTAGCTCATCACATCTACTTTATACTGTTGAACAATCTCTCTTTTGACTTTGAATCTTACAAGTATTATTGAAAGTTAAGAAGACTCTCTGAAACAATGAAGTCTTCAGGGTAGAATAATTATGGAATCAGATCTTTCAAGTTATAAATGAATGCACATATTCCATTTTGGGGACAGAAATTCTTAATTTGATTAAAGGTATGATTTAAAATTTAGCCTTCTTTTTAAAACTGTAAGATATTATTCACATCATATTTTATGTTAAATTTACTCAGGATCAAAACCGTTCAAGTGCAAGATATGCCATTTTGCAACAGCTCAGCTTGGAGATGCCAGAAACCATGTGAAAAGGCACCTTGGGATGAGGGAATACAAGTGTCATGTCTGTGGGTGAGTAAATTGAAGCCATCTCTGCTGTGTGAACCAGGAAGCATGTGCAGGATAGCCATTGTTTCGGGATTCAAAACTGATAGGAGTAAGAGTGGCTAAAATTATGCACGCGTATCCTCCTTTCCATTGTTATGGTAAATTCTTTAAACACAGTTATGACATTCTTCTCCCACTTCTAATCCTGTACTGAAGATGAGCAATTTTATGGGCTACAAGGTCAATTTGAACCTGTAATCTGTAAATTGACTAAATTATAGGATGTTCATTCACATTGCCAGAGAGAACTATAAATTCCATTTAAAGACATAAAAAATACATAATATAGCTTTAGGAGTGTATATATGTGTTTTTTTTCTTTTGCTATACTGCTTTAATTTTAATCACATTAATAGCTCTTTGGATCCATTGGACATGTTCTATAAGGAAAAAACAAAAGGATTTAATTTCAGACAGCTGGTTACTGATTATTGCAGGGATGGTGTGTGAAAAAACAGTGTGTAATGTGTTTTTGTGTAACTTTATTTCAAAACTTGTTTCTTTTTTTAGTTAATGGTTCTTTTCTCTGAAGAATCATTCACAATGTTTAATTGTCATTCAAATGTGTTGCATTTAATAGAAAGCGCTGAGGTACCTTAATGCAAAACTAATTAATTTAGCAGAAATGTTTAAAAGGTTTTAAAATGCTATGACATATATGGTATATCATAAGACATTCAGAGGTGGATTTTAATACCCTACTTCTGATTAAAAGTATATTTTAATGTTATTATGCTAGAGAAATTAACTAATAAGTGCATCATATAAAAAGTCTTTATGTGAAACCTGAGAAACCTTCAATTCTTATGGCTAATTCACAGAATACCACAGATTCAATTAAATTATGCAGTGTGCACATGCTACATTAGGTTATTTTTTCTATTTGAAGATTTTTCAGATTGATATTATCATGTAAATATGTTTTAAGCCAAAAACAAATTCTTTTTGTTGGACGGTACACTTTGTCCCAGGATGCAATTGCATTTTTGACCCTAAAGATAGTTTTACAAATAACTTTGCAAACAGTTTTATTCACCATGGTCTGTGATATATTCATTGGCAGAATTGATGGTTCAGTGACTTACAGCTAAAGTAAATGAAGATGAACCTTTGCTCTAAAGCCCCCTGAAGATCAGTGGGAGAATGAGTTTTGTTACTACCGATTTTAGCTGCAAGGGTCAGGTGCCGAATGGTTTGTTTTAATTGCTATAGATCTTGGAATTTTAAAAGAAATATATTTCATTTATTGTTTTTACCATATGTGTTATAGGTAAGAACTCTCTGACTACAGTGAAAATTTGCTATTAGGTGGCAGTAAGCATTTTCTTCCTCATTTCTGAGATATAAGTAAACAATTTTTGCATACTGTTAATAGAAATCCAGTTCTGTTCATTTTTTTTTTTTTAAATTATCGTTACTAAGACCCTGGAAAGAGAAGAAAAACTTTTTTTTCAGAGAATAGTTTCTGACATATATGGTATCAAAAACAATACATAATACAATACATTGGCTTTAATTGTATAACTTGAACAATGCACACCTTGCTTACTAATTGCTTACCAAACACAACTGAAATGTTGCATTAGTATTTTATGTATTTGATTCCCAAGATACAGAATTATAAATATACATATATTGAGTTTTATGCTGGTGTCATAGAGAGCTACGTGTGTGAGTGTGCGTAGAACATTCATTCTAGATTTCCAAAATTGCACCTTTTACAATTTTGATAGCCACTGAATTTTATCTGACTATGAAATAATAGTTCACTTTATTTTTTAAATGGAATTTGATTTAAAAGTTACATAGCAATAATTTTAACAGAGTTGATATTTTCACAGAGGAGGTGAAAGTTCTGAGATATTGCTGTAAACTTAAGACTACTTATTGATTTATGTAGATGAAACAGAACAATAATGAATTAGGTACCCTTCAATGTTACAGAAAAAGTATCATAGATTGTTCTGTTTTTTTTTGTGTGTTTCAAAGGGATAGGGAAGTATTTAGGTTAGAAATTAAAGTAGAAAACATAAAATGTGCAAGGATTGGCTATCAGATTAGTGGCACTGGAGAGTTTTGGTATGTTAACATCATTGACAATGTCAATTCATTATCATTGATGGCTAAATAATCTTAGAAATGCTCAGTGGGCCTATTAGTTCCTGAACATAAGCAGCTCATGCTGCATTTCTTCATTAGTTTTAATTGCTATAAATTTTACCTTTTACGAAATCATGGTTTAAAAGGTGAAGTGATCTTTCAGGAACATTAACTCTATAATTTTGTCACAAACAGAAGGTCCTGCATTATGTTTTCTTTTCTCCAGTAGTTAATATCTTCATCTCTGTCTTTTAGAAGTTTATTAATGACCTCTGTATTATTTGAGTTGTAAGAAGTTGTTTCTTAAATAGTCTTGATTAAATAATAATGCAAAAAAATATCGGGGCAGGCACACTGTTAAAGTTTCAATAGAATTATTGCTCTTAATACTGTACTCTTTTCCTAGTAAACTCTTGGTTTTCTTGAGGAAAAAGACTAATATTTTGTGGCGAAATTGATGGGAACAATAAATAATACATTTTGAATTGAGCTCAATATTAATATTCCAGATTATTTATAATTGACCTCTTTTTCAATGTTTATGTATCTTTATGCAGACAATTGTAATGCTCATCTGCTTTGTATCTTGCATTTTTAACTAAGACTTAGTTTTAGGGTTGTGTATTAGCAGCTCCCTTAACAAAAACTATCTTTGAAACTTTTATATAAATTGCCTGGACCTATGTTGATTTTCGTTGAATCTTCAAGATCAGTTTTAATTGATATATCCCCGTCCCCCACCCTATGGGCATATTTAGCTAGAGTACATCATGGATTTAAGTTAGTTTGACAGAGAATGTGAATATATTAGATGTCTAATTCCTATTAGGTAGTTAGGATTCAGAATTCAGAATTTAAATTTTGTGTACTCAAGGTTTACCTGCTCATATTAATGGTAAAAATTTCAAAAATGTATTGCTTTCCACTTTGTGTTTTAAATATATGTTATAGATAACTTCATTTAATAGCCATTTATTTTACTTTCACTTTTAGGAGGAGTAGTTTTTTGAATAGTAGAGTTTCTTAATAATGTTTTTCTTACATTTGAGTGTGATTGATAGAGGAATTTTATAGAATAATAGATATAGTTATATTTAGTCACTTGATGGGTAGTTAACATGAAAATCTACTATGGGTCTGAGATAGGGCTTAGTGGGAGAGAAAGTAAGAATTAATAGGGAGCACCCCTATGTAAAAGTTAATAATTTCATATTTAAAAATAGGCTAAATGCATGTTTTTATTACATCCACAATCTCTACTTTATTTTTTTCAGTAGTGAAGAACTTGAAAATCTCAGTGACTTAAAAAAAGGTCATTTAGGTACTATGTTTTGTTAAATTCTTTTAAATTTATTTTAATTCTGTGTGTGTATATGAAATAGTATATATAAATACTCTCAATAATAGTATTTATGCAGTGCTTTACAGTTTAGTAAATGCCTGGATTAACTTTCATCTCATTTGTTGACCTCTGTAGCTTTGTGAGTTGTTTATCTCATGTTTATTATCCCCATTTTACTGATGGGAAACTTGAGATTCACAATGTTTTTATTGATGTTCTTAAATCATGCAACTGATGATGGTTGACCACTCTTTTTCTTCGTTTTAACCATCTCTTTTCTTTATTTTTCTGCTTTTTGTAATATCTGTTTTTTGTTACTAATTTTAATTTGTAATTATTTTTTTCTCTCTAGGTTTTCACTAGCATGTAGTAAATGTAACTTATCTACTTCCTCCTACTAGTCACATTTATTTTCTGCTTTTGCCCAGATTTACGTTCTTTTAAAAAATTGCTTTCACAGTGTTTTACCTTCATATTCTGGTGTTCGGTCTCTCTCTCTTTTTCTTTCATTTCTCTGACACACACACACACACACACACACACACAATCTTTTTCTTTGTTCCACTCTTCCCTTTTAGGAAGTGTTGTTTTAAATTATTTTTCCCCACTCTCCTTCATGTGTTGATAATTTATTGCATTTACTTGAGTGGTTACAAATCGAACATATTTGTATAATAGAAAGAAATAGGTGTCTAAACTTGTAAAGGTTAAATCATTAGGATGAGGGGGTAAAATTGATCAACTTGGGTTATTTTTATTTTTCAGTACTAGCTACTTTAAAAGAGTTATAAAAAACTAATAATTGGCCTATAATTTCATTCAGCCTAGGAAATTATACCTGAGCTTTGTATGCCATTATTCAGAAGCATAGATCTCCAACATGCATGGTTTAGAGATTATATTATTTCCTGATTGATTTCCCTATGTCTAGTCTTGATTCTTGTGTATGGAATTAAATGAATAGTTGAGTAGAATTTACCTAATCAGGAGAGAAATAAAGGCATTTTCTAAATCTGTCACATCTGGCTTCATAAAAAGACTCTAGACATTTTAAAATTGTGTATTAGTGTGCTCATGAACTGTTTATTCCTAGTTAAAGAAGAGACCTTAAATAGAAAGTTACTAATGCAGTAAAACTCTTTGTGTGTGTGTGTGTGTGTGTGTGTGGCATTACCTAGTTTTTGTGCATTAGAAGGGATCTCTATGTAGATGATTATAATGTCACTTTCTGACCTTTGCAGCTTGAATAATTGTAAATCATTGCTTCATAACGTGTCAGAGAATGTCTGTACTAGGCAATTAAATGGCAGAATATAATAGACCAAATTATTGCCTGTCATGTTTTCAACAACACAGTTAGTATTTGAGTTACACTTAATCATTACGTGCATTAGCAACTTCATTGGAATCCAGCTTCAGGCTGAGCATGAAATACATTACATTATTTAAACCTCTAATGGTACAAGTCATTTATTTGTGTTGAAGTGTACAACATGCAGAGTTTCATAAAGCAAGGAACACT